CAATTTTTTAATTAATTTCTAATGCAGCAGCCGGCGTATGCAGTTAACAAAGTCGACAAGACTTTTGCTTTTGGATTTTATGAATTTAGTGGACGATACCACAACAAATATAGGTAAATATGTGGTGCTAAATTTTAAACTTACGGTGGTGCTAAATTCTAAATTTAACGTACCTATTCTTTAGGCACACCAAAAAATTAAAAAATTTGTGAACTTAATCGGAATGACCAGTTTTGGAAATGGGAACTGCCATCAGATAAAATGCGTCTGTATATCATCTACTATATTTGTGCGCAAAATGTAGCCGAATACTAATTTGGGCGCATTAAGAAGGCGCTGCAGGAAATTGGCTGTGATCTCGCCAGTTTTCTGAATCTCCAACAACATAAAAGAAAGTTAACTCATAGATTCATACATTTGCAAAAACAATAAAAAACCAATTTGCTGACATAGGGCCAGTTTTTCAGTACACGGCCGTGGTTTAAACTAATTTTAAACGCCCGATCTGGCTGGTTTAAACTAAGATCAGCCAATCAAATAGCAGCCAGCTGTTCAATTTACACTCAGTTTACTTTATCTGAGTTTAAACTGGCACTGAAAAACTGGCCCATAATGGTGTTTTATTTTGGTAAAAGGAGAAAATTAAAAGTAATAAAAGAAATTGGTTGTATGTATGCGTATATATATTTCTGGAGAATACTGGTGCCCACGCTATGACCACATGCATGTCAAGTGAGTTGGGGGATCGAGCATTATGGACAAATATCGCGGAAAATCATTTAAATACAAATTTCTGCGAAACTCTTTTCAATTAATTTGAATTATGACATCGACAGGGGTGCTTTGAAACGTATTATTTGACCAAAGAAAAATCGAGCAAAAGATGTACAATTTTAGCAATTGCCTAGTTTTTATTCATACGGTCGTTTATCAAAAAACGGGGGTTTATCAAAAAAGAGCAATCATTTCTGTTTAAGCGATTCAGTTTTTATCGTTTAGGTAATTATCAAAATAATTCTATTTTGGTTTTTAACGAAAAGAAATTCAATCATTAATGCTGAAGCTGTAATGCATATAGGTGCTAGGTGTTAACAGTAAGCTCGCAACGGCATACAACAATAACTTTTCGTTGATTTATTTTGTTTCATTGTTACCGATTGATAATTTATTTCGTTTCAACGTTAATGATTGAGTTTTGTTTCGTTAATTTAGCTCTGAAACGTAAGAAGTTATTTTGATAAGGTATTTTTACGCATCAACAAAACGAAATTAGTTTGTTGAGCATCTCTGCATACGGCCCATTATTTTAGAAATAAACAAGAAAAAAATTCTAATATCGGGCGGAGCCGAACATTAAATACCCTGCGCAAAACTACCATTACGTGGTAAACAGGGGCGTTTTGCATCTATTTTGGCCCCATTGTGCGTCGTCATTTTAGCCGCTTGGTGGCTAGATTTAGCTACCCAATTCGTTTTTTGGCCACATAAATTTAAAATTGCCCCTATCCCCTTTTTAGCCCTTTGGAAAATTTATTTATCCTTGACATGAAAAAGTATTATATGCTTCATTTGATCTCGTTTTCTTTTT